TATGTTTTCATAGTCGCACGCAGTAGTTTTCAGTCGCAAATGCGACTGAAATGGTCGCACTGTAGAGCCCTGATGCAAATTCACTCTTTGCCACAAGGTGGCGCTTCTGGAACAGCAGAATTATTTAGCCGTTACTTAAAGTAAACACTACCTTATTACAAGCATTATATGGAGGTAATATGAAAGGGAAATGCCATCAAAACTTTCCTGGCTGAAATGTGAGTTTACAGGTATGATTTAAACACCATAGATCACACAAACTATTAATTATTCATCATCAGTAGATCAAAACAACACGGCATGTTGGCATAAATGTGGGTTATTTGGTGATTGCTAACTGCGTTTTTATTTTGAAACATAACATGCTCGCGTTTAATTAGTTAAATCACAGCCGTATAAAGTTTAATGATCACATTTAAGCAATAGGACAATTCCTATTTTTCCATCCCCAGATTTAAAATTGAGACTTTGAAGCAGCACTATTTATGGAACACAGATGACACACAGATTACATCCAAGCAAGTTACTGAACTCTCACTGTATGACGTTACAGAATGTTGTCCGGTCCAGTTCCTTTCACAGCAGTGTTGTGTTTCTGTTAATCTGCATGTTGACATAAAGATACTTTTGTGCTGCGGTTATTTACTAGCGAATGCATTGTACATTCCGCTTACAGTATATCGATGGAACACGTGGAACATACCAACTATACAAACTGTGTGGGGGGAACCTAAACTGAGCCATTCACTATATAGGCTACTACAACCAGGGCGTCGCAGAAAATGAGTGTGTGAGTTTGTTTACAGAACACTGTTGTCACTGCTACAAACTCCCATATAAATAATTATTCAAAATATATAATTTCCCTGCAGCCAGTGGGCCCCCTTTCCAGTGTAGGCCCCTGGGCTTCAGCCCCTTGAAGCCCATGCATTAATGCACCCCTGTGCACAACAATTCAAGATTCTTTAAAATGTTTTTGAATGAAGTCTCTTATGCTCATCGAGGCAAAAATACACTAAAAGCTGTAATATTCTGAAATTGTATTGCAGTTTAAAATAACTGTTTTCTATTTCACTATATTTTAAAATGTAGTTTATTCCTGTCATGCAAAGCTGAATTTTCATCAGTCATTACTCCAGTCTTCAGTATCACATGATCCTTCAGAAATCATTCTAAATTGCAGCTCAAAAAACATTTCTTATTATTATCAGTGTTGAAAACAGTTGTGCTGCTTAAATTTTTTTGTGGAAACCATGGTACATTTTTTTCAGGATTCTTCGATGAATAGAAAATTAAAAAGAATAGCATTTATTTTAAATAGAAGTATTGTGTAAAATTGTAATTGTCTTTACTGCATTCCTACTGAATAAAAAAAAAACGAAAAAAACTGCTGATCCCAAACTTTTGACAGCTAGGATAAACTGTAAAAAGAAATATAAAGAATGTAAAAAAATGACATGATCAATAAGGCAACATATTTCAACTTTATTTTTGTAAATTATGAGATTCAACTAGACATGTTTAGAATAAGTTTAAGTGAAATTTTTTTATACAGATATTTTTTGTTAGCAGTTAACACCAATTTGGTCCTGATATGCGAATGATGGCAATGCAGATAAAAGACAGAAAGCTGTTCCATGTGTGAAAGTGGCTACTACTTTCTTTCCTGTCTTGCTATTTGGCTATTTGTGCACTGTATTTTAAGTCATTTTGGTAAGAAAGAGCGTGTAAATGTGGCCATTCATTCTGCACCCAGACATGTCCTCATCCAGACTGGACATGGTGGGGTGGGTTGGGTGCAGAACTGTTGAGAGGAAGTAACTCAGGCAAGTGTTGGCATGCCTTTCAATGGCTGACTCACACTCCTGCCCATGTGAAACTCCTGTGGCAGATAATGAACATCACACACATACAGATCCTGAGCTAACCAGTACCAGGGACGAGCACCAGTGCTGCTGATCTTGTACCTGGTAGCGCTGAGATCACAACATCTCCACTTCATAAAATCCACACTCCACTGAACATCTTTGGCTTGATAGAGTCGCTCTATTGTCTCATATCAAGCTGAATTTCCGTGCAGGGTACAGGCCATTCCTAATAAATCTCTCTCTCTCTCTCTCTGTCGTTCAGAGCTTTTTTTGAGAGATGCCATGTTTCTAGTCTTAATGGGGGGCAGAATAACAAGATCAGAATAGCAGCTTTAGGACGAGTTAGAGAGGGAGAGGATTTCCTCTAAATTGGCCTGTGATTGAGCACAAGGGTTTGGGTCTAAATAGCTGCTCAGTCACACATCACGAAACATTTAAAGGGCACTGATCACTCCCTGTCCTGGTGTTGTCCAGTAATTGTAAACCATTAAACAACATACAAATAGCCATTTTAGTATTATGAAAATGTAATGCATTAGTAATAATTAATAAGAGAACTGCTGCTCCATATGTAAATGCTCAAGGGAAATGTTAAATGGGTCAATATTTGTTAAAGCAGTAAGCCACTCGAAGCCACACAGTGGTTTCATTACAGTTAATGGGTGTTGTTTGGACTGAAACCGCATGGTAAAATCACTAACACAGCATTGCTTGAATTTTTTTAAAACGGCAGCAACAGCAATATGATAAAAAACACACAAAGTTCAGTGAATAAATGCATCAGTATTATCACAATAAACAATTCTTCCATAAAATAAGCTAGTAAAACAAGCAACAAAAAAAAAAAAAGGAAAACAATGCATAGTTTGAATTTAAGAATGTAAGAATCATAATTATTTTTTGGAATTTTTTTTCTATGGTATTTATTAATTATTTGAATTAGCTTTGATTTTTTAAATCATGTGTTTTAGTAATTTTCTTTAGTTTTAACTTCTTTTTTCTATTTCTATTTTAGTTTTAGGTATAGTAATTGTACTTCTTAAACTTATTTTAGTTAGTTGCGAAGGAAACATTTCTCATTTTAATTTTTCATTACATTTTTTTTTTCATTTTTATCTCAATTAACAACAATGTTTTTTAATAGTTTTAGTTTACAATAGCACTGGTAAGAATAATATCTGACCATCATTTTTATCTGATGTAAACTAAATGGAAAGGAAAGGCTCTATTACTCGCATACCTACTAAAAGTGAAAAAAAATATAAATAAACAAATTTATTGTTGTAACATTCCATTGTCCTACAAACAAAAATTACAATCCTCATCATCTTCCTTACTATTTTAGGCAAATTTTCATTTACACAGAGTTATCAATTGTGGATAAGAGGATTGTGGAAGAAGTGTGGATTGAACCATTTCTAATTCTGTTTTTGTGTTGTTTGGCAGGGAGTGGTATTTAAACGGCAATTACCTGGTTGTCATTGTATCGTGCAGTGTCATCTTGCCGCTGGCTTTAATGAAGCAGCTCGGTAAGTTGTCTCAAACCGATTCTTATATCAAATTGCACACCCCTCTTATTCTACTTGCAACTTCCTGTCTGCACATCCACATAATGTAAAATAGTAGTATTCATATTTGATTGAATTGTAAGTGTATTGCAATGATCAGACTTCTCACAGAGGTGTTGTGGGTAATTGTCACTTATTCATCTCACTGTGTGTTTCAGGATACCTGGGCTACACCAGCGGTTTCTCTCTCAGTTGTATGGTCTTCTTCCTTATTGCGGTATGTTTGATGCTCTCGTTAAAGGAATATTTCACCCTAGTAATGAAAATTATTATAATTTGTATAACCTCATGTCCTCCCTCTATAACATTTATGCCTTTATTTATTTATTTATATATATATATATATATATATATATAAGTATTTATGAATATTTTGCATTAGATTTTTTTATATTTTCAATTTTAATTTTAGTTTGTTTTTGTAATTATGTGCTTTTGTCATTTTAATTCCATTCATCTTTATTTAAATTTTGTTTTATTTTTAATATAACAAACATTTCTAGTTTGTTACATTTTTCATCTAATATTCTTATTTTGTATAAGCTTTCTTTCAAATAACAATAACAATTTTAATAGTTTTATCAACACTGCCTTGCCTTGTCACGAAACCATTCATTCCATTTGTTCGCAACAATCCGTTCAGTACACTGATTCGTGGCTTTGTTTGGAAATATTGTCATTGGCGGACCAAAAATTGACGACAGTAACTTTCAATATTGTGTCTAAAATGTAAGTTACCCAATATTAACTTCTTGTTTATTTAACTGTTGTATACCAATCTGAACAAAATCACTCACGATTGTGCGATGTTAATGAAGTACATATTGTTTGGTGTTCCACCAAAGACGTCATACAGATTTGAAACAAAAGCAAGTAAATTACACAATTTTCATTTTTTGGGTTAACTATCCCTTTAAATATGTTTCATTCAGTTGCCATGTGCTGCTTAGTATTCAAATCACGAAGCAGTACTTTGCTATTTTGAAATTTCTTTCTGAATAAAAGGCTGAGAGCATGAAAATTTATATTTAATCTTGATACAGTTCCAATTAGCAGTTTATAAATCTTATAGTAAGCTGGGGGATTTTAGGATGTGCTCATGTTTTCCACCAGCAGGATCAGTGTGTGATGTGTGAGTGTGTCTTGTATTTTTAGAGTGGGGTTGTGTTTGGTGCACCTCACTGACCTAGTTTTGAAGGGGAGCTTTAATCTTTGCACACGGCTCTCACTCTCTCTGTCCTCATGCTGGTGTGTGAGTGTGGCATTGGCTGTGCCACATCTTTGCGCTGGATTTATGAAACCGTCTAGTCTTTACACTATATTCCAGTCTGAATACGATAACATTGCCTCTCTCTTCTTCTCTCGATTCATCATCCCTGCTGTGATTGGAACGAGCACCAAATGAAAAGACACAATGGCGGCAGAGCCACCTCAGCTTACTCTCTCTCATCTAGCTGGTCATGTGACACTGATGAATGACATTATAAAGCAGTGATGTGTACCTTTCAGGATTAAAGGGGTCATATCATGAGAAGTCATGCTAAACCATCTCAAAAAGACCATCTTTTGAAACTAAGCAGTAAACATGACTCATCCTTGGATTTCTGACATCAGAAGACTAAATAAAGCAACAAATTACTACCTACATTTATAGCAATGCATATTTTAAGTCTTAAACCTGTAAAGTATAAAATAATAGTCAGAAAAATCTACTTTTTAAAAAATAGAACAGCTTATTAAACCTTTAGACAAAATATTTTCAAAAAAAGTTTTAATGTGTTTTTTGTTTGAGATCATATTTGATACATCAGGCTTTTATGGCTCATAAAGTACGATATTGGAGAATATGGAGCTCAAACTCAATCAAATCAAACTACTAACACAAAATGCATATGAATATCAGTTCAATATACAGTCACTCTGTATCTCCCAATAATAAGTTTTAGTAAGATGATATTTAAATGCTTAGTTTTATGATCAAAGCTCTATATTTATTTATTGTGGTGCACAACGTATAATGCAATTTAATACAATAATTATTAAGAAACGAACAGATAAATGTTCCTCAGAAGCCTGATGTATCATATTTGATACTCTCATTTTCACATGATTTAAAAAAAATTATGTATGGATAATCAAATTGCTTCAATCCAGTAAGTGTTTATCTTGAAACATTACTAACAATATAAAATATATTCTTAAGTTTACTTTATAAAAATAAGTTTTTACAGGAAAAAAAGACACATGCACCACAACCGAAATGGGATGTTTTTAGAATTATACTAAAAGGCCTTTAACTTGCTAAAAATGTAAAAAATTATCAGTCACACATCAGAAGGCATGTAGTAGATTATGCACAATAAGTTTTGATGTTGATAATTTAAATTCCTTACAAACTTGCCTATCAAATATAACAGGCTTTATATGATAAAAAAAAATCATGTCCTGTTTGATTATAATGAGGGACAGAAATCAAGAAATTGTAATTTAAAAAATCCCAATGTGACTAACTATAAGTGGAACCTAAAGGGAAAAATGATTAAACGATGACATGAACCCATAAAAACTCATTGCAAGATCAGCACAACCTATGCAGGACTTGTTAATTATTCAATCTCTCGTCTCCCTCCAGGTGATCTATAAGAAGTTCCAGGTGAAATGTCCTTTTGGTGACTTTGCCCATAACAGGACAGTGTTGGGCTTTAACACAAGTGTGGCTGCTGATCCCGGAGGAGTAAAGATGACCCCTGAGGGTGACCCTGCCTGCACCCCCCGCCTCTTTAACCTCAACTCGCAGGTATATCACTGTGTAACTGAAATCATGCTGCGACATTCATATGAGTAGTGTAATATAAGACTTTAAGCAAAATCAAATGACAAACACTAGGGGTGCTCCGACTGATTATCGGCCGATAATCACGTTGGGATGATTGATCGGCGGTCTCTAAAATGCCGATCTCAAAAAAACGATCTCAAGCTGATGACGCTGCCGTGAGAGGTTTGGCACGACATACAGCGGCACCGCCTCAGTCTCTGTCCGGCGCGGGTGAAATAATTATAATGCTGAAGGTGAGGTACTCACGTTTATACAAGTAAAGTAAAGTTTTTGCATTACTTTTTAATTCTTGCTCATGCCGTGCACTCATGCACACTCGCAGCGCACACGCATAATGCCAGGTTCACATTACTCTGTTTGTAGTGCGTATGTGGTGCGTATTTTTTCCGCGCTCATGTTAATGGATTAAAGCATTCACACTGCACACGGCAGTGCGTTCAGGAGCGGTGCGTCTGCAGCAGTGCAGAGATCGTTTCCGCACCAAGTCTATTTTTGCTGTGATACACACGCTGAATTAAAGTGACAGTGCATTGTTTGCAGTACATATAAAAACGAAAATGTAGCAATTGCCCCATAAATGCATATAATTAAAGTATACTGTCTTTCACAGTCAACACATATGGCTTGTTGGCTTGTTTTAAAGGAATAAATGATAAAAAGAAGGCTTTAAAAAGATCGGTATCGGTGATCGGTATCGGCAGATACTGCTTTCTGTGATCGGTGATCGGCCTCAAAAATCCTGATCGGAGCACCCCTAACAAACACTGTGGTTCGCAATAAGCCTTTGCATGACTCGCATATATTTGGGCTTAATCCAAACAGGCATTTAGATATCAGTTCTCAAACTGTATGAAAATCTGGATTTTCAGCTTATGTAGTATATTCACATTTATAAAGTACAGGTAGTCGGGAACCTTTAATGGACTGTGGTTTTAAATATTATTGCCAAGTGGTTAGCTAAATTGGAAAAATATGAGCCATTAGCCAAAGGGTGGCCATTTCTCACTACCTCTCTTTTGCTTTCTTATTGTAGGAAACAAAAATCATAAACATCTCCTTGAAGTGACCATTCACCCAAAAATAAATAATTTGTCATCATTTGCTCACCCTCATGTCATTCCAAACCCATATGGCTTTCTTTTGTGTGTGTAATGTCTAATTTTAAACTTTTATGTCTCATAAGAATTTTAAGAGAAACATCTGAGACATTGATACTTAGATAAAACATATACAGTTCAGAAGTTTGGGGCCAGTAAGATTTTTATAAAATGAATTATTACTTTTATTCAGCAAGGATGCATTAAATAGATCAAAATTTACACTAAAGGCATTTATAACATTACAGAGATTTCAATTTCAAATAAATGCTGGTCTTTTGAACTTTTTAAACAACAAAGAATAAAAAAAAAAAAAAAGACAATTTCCACAATATTAAGCAGCACGACTGTTTTTAACATTTATAACAACAAGAGATGTTTCTCGAGCAACAAATCAGCATATTAGAATGATTTCTAAAGGATAATGTGACACTGAAGACCGGAATAATAATGCTGAAAATTCAGCTTTGTATCACAGGAATAAATTACCATTTTAAAATATAATAAAACCAAAAACTGTTATTTTAAACTGTAATAACATTTCACATTATTATTGTTTTTACTGTATTTTAATCAAATTAATGCAGCCTTGGTGACCCAAAATCAGGAAAAAAAAAATCATACCGATCCCAAACTTGAACAATATTGTAATTGAGAATTTCTTTAAGTTTCTTGAGCTATAAAAGAGCAAGCTCTGAGCCATAAAATACCTCCATTCATCGATCTATCTAGAACAATGGATCTTTTGTGTGTATAGTCTTAAAGGGATAGTTCACCCAAAAATGAAAATGTGATGTTTATCTGCTTACCCCCAGGGCATCCAAGATGTAGGTGACTTTGTTTCTTCAGTAGAACACAAATTATGATTTTTAACTCCAACCGTTGCAGTCTATCAATCGTATAATGCATGGCAATGGTAACAAAATCTATGAGAGTAAAAAAAACATGCACAGACAAATCCAAATTAAACCCTGCGGCTCGTGACGACACATTGATGTCCTAAGACACGAAACGATCGGTTTGTGCCAGAAACCGAACAGTATTTATATCATTTTTTTACCTCTAATACACCACTATGTCCAACTGCCTTGAGCACGCGCACGGCATCCGGTGCGTGAGGTGTGTACGCGCTCAGGCGCAGTTTACGCAAGCGCCAGAAGTGATCTCTCGCGCCTATACGTCACTCATTGTTTACACAGAGCACATTCATTACAAAGTCAACACTATTTGGAGCTATACTAACGTGAATACACACTGTGTATTATTATTATTATTATTATTATTACTATTATTATTTTACTTCAAGTCAAGTCACCTTTATTTATATAGCGCTTTTAACAATACAGATTGTGTCAAAGCAACTGAAC